CAAATTCCAGATCTATTGATTCTATCTTTGTTTTTGAAACTTCAAATTTATACAATTTCTAGAGGATCACCTTTTTTTTAAATCTTATTTTTCAAGTTTTTTATAGGGCTAAAAATTTACAGTATACCTGTCTTTTAAAAATAACAACACATTAACTGTAGGGAATTCAATTGTGATTTTTAAAATGTGTATATGAAAGATTCTTTATAATAATGACAAAGATGGAAAATATGTCCAGTGCTGACATGAAAGTCATGCTGTTGACTCTGTCAAGCAGAACAAAGGCATTGGAGCCAGTCTTCAGGTTGTGATTAGGCAAACTAATATGTAGTTACCCTCTCCAACTGTGTGATCGTTTGTGTAATATGAAGGAGGGGTTATGGTAATTAGTGTGTATTTTTTCCACAAAGAAAAATATTTTTATTTTTTAAATTTTTTTTAAATTTTGTAATGTTTTATTTATTTCTGAGAGAGAGAGAGACAGCGTGAGCAGGGGAGGGTCAGAGAGAGAGGGAGTCACAGACTGAAACAGGCTCCAGGCTCTGAGCTGGCAGTCAGCACAGAGCCCGACGCGGGGCTCAAACCCACGAACTGCGAGATCATGACCTAAGCGAAATTCGGACGCTTAACCGACTAAGCCACCCAGGCGCCCCAAGAAAATTATTTTTAAAGTATTTGCAAACACAGGAGAAAGTTGAGCAATTTTTCCAGTGATTTCTCTCAATGTAGATTATTTATTCATTCGTTCAACAAATATTTGAGTGCTTAGAAGGTGCAGAGCCCTGGGATCTGATGACATATGTATATGTATGTGTGTGTGTAAATATATATGTATATATATACATATACATATATACATATATATATATTTAGTGGAATACTCATTAGTTTTTAAAAGATAGTCTTTTTTTCTGGAGCAATTTTAGGTTTACGGCAAAATTGAGCAGAAATCATGGACAGTTCTCCTAGGCATTCTGCCCCAACACATGCACAGCCCTCCTCTCCCCCCACTATCAACATCCTCACCAGAGTGGTGCCTTTGTTACAGCTGATGAACCTTCACTGACATGTCATTATCACCCAAAGTCCACAGCTTATATTAGAATTCACTCTTGGTGTTGTAAATTCTATGGGTTTTGACAAATGTATAATACATATACCCACCATTTTAGTATTAATGTTTCTTTATCTTGAGGGAGAGTGCAACTGGGAGAGTGGCAGCGAGAGAGGGAGAGAAAGAATCCCAAACAGGATCTGCATTGCCAGTGCAGAGCCCTACATGGAGCTCGATCACACGAACCATGAGATCATGACCTGAGTCAAAATCCAGAGTCAGACACTTAACTGATTGAGCCACCCAGGTGCCCTAATAAAGTATTGTACATAGTTTCATTGCCCTTAAAATTCTCTGTGATCTATGTGTTCATCCCTTGCCTCTCTCCCTTGACAACCACTGATCTTTTTACTGTCTCCAGGTTTGCCTTTCACAGAATGCCATATAATTGAAAAGATTGTCTTCTTTCAGTTAGCAATATACATTTAAGCTTCCTTCCTGTCTTTCATGAAGGCTTGATAGCTCATTTCTTCTTGGTGCTGAATAATATTCCATTGTTTGGACGTACCACAGTTTATCCACTCATCTACTGAACGACATGATTGCTTCCAAGTTTTGTCAATTATAATTAAAGGTTTTAGAAACATCTGTGTGCAGGGTTTTGTGTGGACATGTTTTCAACTCATTCGGATAAATATCAAGGATGTTATTACTGGATGATACGGTTAGGAGTATGTTTAGTTTTGTAAGTAACTGCCAAACTATCTTCCAAAGTGAACGTACCACTCATAATTTTAAAAGAATAAATTATGAAAAATTTCTACTCGGTTTTCATAAACTCCTTTGTAAAATAGAAAAATGGCTGTATTTTTCACCTTAAAAACAATAATGCTCATTATAGGAAATCAACAATATAAAAAAGCAGGTAAAAAAATCAGCATGTTTCATTCTTGAAAGACAAATAATTGGTGTAATTTCTTTCAGTTTTTCTTCTGTGCATAGCCTTTCAAGTGTCACATTTTAAACTTGATTTATCTAGAATCTCACCAAAGATGGTGTTTCTTAGATACAACCCAAATTAGGAATCCTGATTGTTGAAAATGGAACTTTTAAAAATGTAACATGAACTTTCAGATACAGGCATTTAAGGCATATGTAACTAAGAGTATCAGCTTACCAAAGATAGATTGTTTTGTTTCTGTGAAGTAATTTTATGTATGTACCTGTGTTCTCCCAGCCTTCTGCCCTATCTTTTCCAGGACGTGGGGCCAGAATTAATACAGTTTTATTTCAGTTTCAGTTTAGAGTCAGCTATAAATATTTTGGTTTGGGTTTGACTCAAGCCAAAAATGTGTTGTAACTACTTGGTTTGAACCAGATATTTTGAATTATTTTCTTGTTAAGGCTTTATGAACTAAAATATCTAGGGCCATAAAATGACAGTTTTACATTTTGTTTGCCTCTGAAAACATTGCTTCTCAAACTGTATGAATTCTAATATATACTAATGCTACTGGATTATCCCTGGAAAGAATCAGAAGCCCTGACCTTTGTGAAATTGGTTTTCTAAAAGAGAGAAGTGCCCTTTAGATAACCAAAAAAAGTGTTCACTGCTAAAAGTGAGATCAGTGAACAGGGGCTTTGCTAGACTCCTGTGCTACTGTGCTGCATGGAAGAAATGTACACCTTTATAGTATCTATAGAATGTTAAGATTATATATTCTAATATTAGGGTTACATATTCATGCATATTCAGTTTAGAATACGTAATCCTAACTGATAGATACTATAGAATGGTGTGCACAAGACCAACCGTAACTAGGCTCAAGTACAATATTGCTGATCTTTAATCTAATAATTACACTCAACTATACCAATTCTGTTCATTCTTCCCTCCCCCCCCCCCAATTCTGTTAATTCTTAGGAATATCTGCTTCTTTCACCTTTCTTGGCCGTATTTTCCATGTTATTGATCATACTATATAAAATCTTTTGTTGTAAGTTTCCAAAAAACATTTTGGAGAAAAGCAGAATATAACGAAATGCTTTAATTGACCAATTGACTCACCAAATCTAAGAGGGCATTAATTGTAAGGTACATTGTTATTATATATGTGATTAAGAAAAAAACACCTACCAGTTAGCGTTAGGATGTTACTGACTGTGAGATGCGTTTCTATTTCAGAAATTTTAAAGTGTGTGAAAGTGCTTTTAAAAGTGAGTCCTTGAACTAATTAACTACAATGATGACATTTTACAATTTCCATTTGTAAGGGAGCCTGGGTGGCTCGGTTGAATGTCTGACACTTGGTTTTGGTTCAGGTCATGATCTCACTATTTGTAAGACTGAGCCCTGCTTCCTGCTCGGCACTGGTGCAGGGCCTGCTTGCGATTCTCCCTCGCTCTATTTCTGCCCCTCCCTCGCTTGCTCGCGCTCTCTTTAAATAAACAAACTTTAAAAAGTTTTTCCGTTTGTAGTTCTTCTCCTAGTAGTGTACCATCCCGCTATAACTTTAATTCATCAACCAAATAACTTTGAACAACAAGAGTTTCCTTTGTAAGCACGGTTCTTTCTCACTGACTTTAACCCAGTAAAGCACAAAGTATCATGAATGCAGATTGGTTCTCAGTACAGACTTTAAACTCTTCTCTGATTGTAATTTATCATTTAATTATAGATAAGGTAGTTCATTTAATCAATATCAGCTACTATAAATAGCAATGATAAAATAACCAACTTCTTTTCAAAATTGAATTAGATTCTGAAATCTCAAGGGAGGTCATGGATTATTTAAAAGGAAATCACTTGGAATAATAAACATTGTCTAAACATAAAACAATCAAGAAGCAATATAAACTCATCTAGGCTAAAGAAACAAACAGGAACATTTAATACCAGATTAAAACATCTCCCTGGACTGATTTAAAATTAAGATAAATGCTAAATTCCCTTACTACCCAAAGTACCGCTGCTTAACATTGTAAAGTTCTATACACACGCGGAATTTAAAGTTTTCTGGTAACTAGCTATATTTTAAAAGTCAAACAACAAAAACCGTGAAATTAATAATTTTTCATTTAACCTATCAAAAATCAGCATAAAATTGACTAACGAGGTGGTCTTCGACATCGCTGTATGGTTTAGACGCACAGCACGTCTCAGTCCCACCAGCCACACTGGAAGCGCTCAGCAGCCACCTATGGCTACCGTACTGGACACCAGTGGTCTTAGGGGACTTCCGTATTCATTGATTCCTTAGATTTGTGAGTTTGAGAATTTCTTTTTATGTGACACACTGTCTCTACGGTGCTTAGAGATATCTGAGGCTTAAGATTATTTTGCTCTCCGGTCGGTTGTGATCCAAGACAGACAACACGGCATTAAAAGCATTAAGAAAGGAAGGCCATAGGACATCCGTGCGTCCAGGAACACGGCCTGGAGGAGGGCCCGAGCCTCTCTGAGCGGCGCCCGGCGGAGAGGCTGCGGACACAGCGTCGGACGCTGGATTGCGAGACAACCCGGGCGGCTGCCTGGAACTCCGCGCGCTTCCCTGGGGCGCCCCACCACACTGGAGCCGGACACGGAGGGCAAGCAGCCTCTGAGCCCGACACAGGGTCACGCGCCGCCAGCGCCGTGCGAGGCCGGCCCCGGAGCCGCAGGGCTGGCGGCCCGTGGCGCCGCCGCCCGACGCCGAGGGAGAGGCGCGGGCGGAGACGGGAGCCCGGGGAGGGACGGCGGGCTCGGCTCGCGTCCCGCAGCAGCCTCCCAGCGGCGCGCTCCCGACGGTGACGGTGACGCAGCGGGCGCGCGGCGGCAGGGTGGGCGGGGAGCAGCGGCGCGCACCGCCCCTCGGAGAGGCGGGCGCCGCGGTTCCGGAGGGCGGGGGCGAGGCGGGGCGCGCCGGGGAGTCTGAGCGCTGGCCGCCGGTTTCGATTAGTGCGCGGAGCTGCGGCGGCCGAGCAGGGTGCGGAGCTGCGCGGCCTGGGGTCCCGCGGCGAGGCGGCGGGGCGTTGGCTTCCGGGGTGCAGGCGCTCAAGGTCCGGCCGGGGGCCGCGAGGGTGTGGGAAGGCTAGCCGGAGCGCGGGGCCGCGGCCGCCCCGACCACCGATTCCTCCCCGCCGCAGCGCCCGCAGCCGCGAACGCGCCCAGGGCAGCGCGCGAACGAGGGCGCGCGGGCGGGGCGCGCAGGCCCTGCCCGCCCCTTCCGTCCCCACCCCCCTCCGCCCCTTCCTTTCCCCACCTTCCTCTCCCCTCCAGCGCCCCCGCGCCGGGCGCCCACCCTGTCCTCCGGCGGGAGCGCGGTCCGCGGCGGCGGCCGGAGCGGGCCGGGCCGGGCCGGGGGATGGCGCTGCTGGACCTGGCCCTGGAGGGAATGGCCGTCTTCGGGTTCGTGCTCTTCTTGGTGCTGTGGCTGATGCATTTCATGGCCATCATCTACACGTGAGTGAGGGGCTTCTGGAGGAGCCCTTGGCGCGGGGGTCAGGGCCTCCGGGTGGGAGGGTGGGAGGCATTGCGTTTTGGGGAGCCTCGGGCTCGGGTGGGAGTGGAGAAAGCTTATTCCTAGACTGTTACTCCATCCCCTCTCACCTTGGAACAGCTGGGGCGGGGGTCCTGGAGGGGGAAAGTGGGGAGCGAGGGGATTTGCCGGACCGCGGGCGACTGCACGGCCTGGAGAAAGGAGACTGCTCTTTCTAGGTGTCGGGAGGAAGGTTGCTTGCTTGGTTTCATTGTGTTGGGGATTCGTTTGATTTTTCATCTGGGCCAAATATATAGTGTGTTGTGCTGTAGTTGTTTTCTCGACCTGGACGACATTTCCATTACGATGATGATAATGCTCACTCTTCTGGGAGCTCTGTACACAGCTACCCGGAGACCTCCCTGTGGATTTTCTTCTTCCTGGATGCCTTTAGATAGGTGTGGAGCACCTGTCCACCTTGAAAAATGTCCACCAAATCCGCGGACTGACGTTATAGCCTAGAGTCATGTCAACTTGTGTATTTCACTGTAGTTTTCTTTCCTTTTTCCCAATCCCTTACATATAGTCTTATTTAAATTTGCCCCCCCAACATCTCTTATTCATTATTAATTTAATAACTACATCTTGAGGCCTTACTAGATGCCATTCACTGGGGACACAGTGGTGAGCAGGACAGAATTCCTGTCCTCATAGAGCTTACATTCTGGAAAGGAGAGACAGATGATAAAAATTCAAATAGGGTTATTTTATATAGTGATAAAGTCTGGATAATATAAAACAGAGTAGTGGAATGAATAATGGTAGAAGGTATTCACTTGTTTCAATGTCTTTAAGATGAAGTCTGCCTTCCTAAAGAAATAAAATTACAGAGAGCACATTGCTGATACAGATTCACTGGCATTTTAACCTGGAAAAAAAAAAAAGACATGATTATACATAGTAATCTTTATCACCAACTAGAAGAGGGCATGTGTCAATAGAGAAGATGGAAAGACTTTTTTTTTTAATGTTTATTTATTTATTTTTGAGAGAGCATGAGCAGGGGAGGGGCTGGGAGGGAGAGAGACTCCCAGGCAAGTTCTGTGCTGTCAGTGCCAAGCCAGATGCAGGGCTCCATCCTGTGAGCCGTGAGATCATGACCTGAGCCCAGATCACGAGTCAGATCCTTTACCGGCTGAGCCACCCAGCTTCCCCAAGATGGGAGAAGTTTTAACAGATTTGTTACCTCTCCCCTTTTTTACTCCAGAAAGAAGGTGCTTTTCCTTTTGGAAATTTTGGATTTTATCAGGATAGGGTGGCATTTCCTGGTACTGGAGAAAGGTAGTACACCGTAGAAAACATACTGATATTTCTTTGAACGTGAAAGAAAATGTGCCACTTGGATACTGCTAATCTCAGTTTTTGTAGTTTGTGAGCTGATGTCACTGAACACTTTTTGGAGTTCATTTTAAATGTATAGGAATTCTTAAAAAGCAACTATGTTACTATTTTCCGGTCATAAAAATTTTTAAAAAGCTAATTATATAAGGAATTTAGACAGTACTAAGAGGAATAAAGAAATTTACACACAACAAAACTTCATCACTTTGTCAGCCTTTTGTGACCATCCTTACAATTTGTATTTGTGTGTGTGTAGAAAGAGAAAAAGAGAGAAGAAAGGGGGTGGGGGTTGACATAACTATTGTTCTGTAGCCTGCTTTAAAATTTTATCTGTCTAGTAAAATGCTTTCTGGGAGCTCTTTTGTACAAGGCACTATTCTAGGTGCTGGAAATAAGATTGAAGAAGACATCCAGCTTTGCCCAACCCGCTCACATGGGGTTTCCATGTAAAATGTCATGACCACTTTTTTCCCGTTAATAAATGCATCATCTTTGCATCATTTTAAATAGATTTATGGCATTTTTGCTTATGAGGTACTAATATGTATTCATTGTTACTGATGGGCATTTAGGTTTCCAATTATCAAGATTACAAACAACACCGTGGTGAATTCATAGTGTACATCTTTGAGAGAGGATTTCCTTAGCTTAGGTTTCTAAAAGGAATTATTGGGCCAGGAGCAGCTTTAAACTTTGCTACATATTGCCCTATAGAAAGCTTGTATCTATTCAGAGTCCTGGTAACATTGTATGATGGTCCTCATTTCCCATTGCATTTTATCATGCTCTTGACTGTTGTCTGTTTTTTATTTTCATTCCTTTAATTACTAGTTCCACTGAACATTTTTCATATATTGATATGCTAATTACATTTACTAGTATATTACATACTCTAATCCTTTGTGCCGCAACCTATTGCTTTATTAATCTTTCTGATATGAAGACTGTTTTTCTGTGATAGGTTGCATTTTTCCCCCAGCTTTTTTTTTTTCTTTTGTCTTTCAACTTTGTCCATACATTTAACATGGAGAAAAGTATGTGTGCCTGTGTTTTGGATTGTCAAGACTTTTTTTTCTTTTTTAATGTTTCTAACTTGTGTAATTTTATATCTACTCCCCCCCAATTAGTATATAGTTAATATCTGTTTTCTTTTAGTAACGTGAATATTCTTATTTTGTTTTTTACATTTTACCTTGTAATGTATTCATTATTTTATTTTGTGATATGATGATATATAGAGACTTACTTTTAGGTTCACCTGAATATTTAGCCACTTGTCCCAAAATCATTTAATGAATTATTTGATTATACCCCAGTTTGGAAATACTGCCTTTATTATAGATTAAATTCTTCTGTATACTTGCATGTTTCAAGGTTCCCAGTGATGTTTCACTGATCTATTCTTGTACTAGTATCCACTATTTTTTTTAATTTTTTTTTTTTTTATTTTTAAGTAATCTCTACGCCCAATGTGGGGCTCAAACTCACAACCAACCCTAAGATCAAGAGTCAAACGCTCCACCGACTGAGCCAGCCAGGCACCTCTCCACTATTTTAATTAATGAAGCTTTATTACCTTATTACTGGTGAGGAAAGCCCTTAGTATTTTGCAAACTTTATTGGATTTTATGCATTTTTACTTAAAGGTATACTTTAAAATTTTTTCCCAGACCCTAAGCAGTTTTGTTTTTTAATTGGAATTATTTAATATTATTTTAATTGGAATTATTAAATTTACAGCTCAGTTTGGAGAAAATTGACTTCTTTCAAGATAAGGCTATGATGTATTCCCTTCCCTCTATAATGTATGCATAATGATAAAATCACACTTTTTAAAATTAAACAAACATGAGATATGTACCCTAATATTTCAAGTAGCCCATGCTGTTAGACTTGAGACAACTCTACAGTTGTTTTAAGTCATGTATTTTGTGCTTAATGACACATAATAAAGTTTTCCTTAAATACTTCCAGTGTTTGAGAATAGTGCATTTAGCTTCATTAAAACACTGTAGAGAGACTTTACATTTATTTTCTTATGCCCCATATAGTTACTTTTGTGACTTCCAGTAACAAGATCCAGAAAATAGGGTGAAAAAAATGCAATTAGTTTATAACAGATTATAATAAATAGTTCATTAAAGGAATCTTAAGAATACCTTTTTGAAATGAGTAACCCAACATAGAGCAAATAGTCAACAGCTTAATTTTTTTAAAGTTCTTTTTTTTTTTAAGTTTATCTATTTATTTTGAGAGAGAGAGCATGAGCAGAAAGAGAGGGGGAGAGAGAGAATCCTAAGCAGACTCCATGCTGTCAGTGCAAAGCTAGAAGTGAGGCTCAAGTTCACAAACTGAGATCATGACCTGAGCCAAAATCCGGAATCAGATGCTTAACTGATTGAGCCACCCAGGCACCCATCAACAGCTTAATTTCTATATAAATTAAATCTTACTTCCTCCCCACCCCCTCTTTTTTGATAAGTTTCTTTCTTCTGCTCCCACCTTCAGAATTACTCACTGACGGGGTGCCTGGGTGGCTCAGTCGGTTAAGCGTCTGACTTTGGTTCAGGTCATGATCTCACGGTTTGTGGGTTCGAGCCCCACATTGGACTCTGTGCTGACAGCTAACTCAGAGCCTGGAGCCTGTCTTTGGACTCTGACTCCCTCTCTCTCTGACCCTCCCCTGCTCAACGCTGTCTCTATCTCTCTCTCAAAAATAAATAAAATATTTTTAAAAATTTTATAAAAAAGAACAAAATTACTCACTGATTTGATTTGATCCCTTTCTTATTGTAATAAAGATACTTCCTGGTTTGAATTGTTTTCAATCAGAGAACTAAGATTTGTTCCTCGACTCCTTTCTCAAACTGTACTTAGTAAAATTGCAAACTTGGTATCAACATTTTGACAAGGAAAGCTAAAGAACACTGGCAACAATATTTTGGTTAAGATGTTGTGCCAATGTTCTATATTTTATTGAATAATATATTTTCTGAATGCATGTTCTGTGTCCTCTTAAACCCTTATTGAAATAAGGTAACATATACATAAATTAAAATAAGCAGATATTGAGACTCCTCTAAAGTTTGTCTGCTTGTAAGTGATGGAAATGGAGCCTATTTAAAAAAACTTATATGACTCTGGTTGTCACATTAAAAAGATTAATCATGGACACCTAATTGTCAAAAAACATTTAAGTCATACAGATGTTATAGTAAAATGGCTGAGAAAAGCTATAAAACTGTTCAAAAATCAATTGGTTATTCTTTAAAAATCTAATACAATGTATAATGGTATCTAGTTAATTTAGATTCAGTGTTCTATTGAACTGTGTTTTCTTAGAAAGAAACAGAGCTAACTATTTTTAAAAAATGGAGCTCAACTGGCTCAGTCAGTAGAGCCTATGACTCTTGATGTCAGGGCTGTGAGTTCAAACCCCACGTTGGATGTAGAGATTACTAAAAAAGATAAATTTAAAAAATGGAGATCAGTGTAATTAACACAATGAACATTTCTTGCTCAAGTTTTTTGTTCAGATTTCACAGATGTCTTACAATTCCTATAAGTCTGCAATTTTTTAAAA